TCAAGATACAATTCTGAAAAACAGACTTCTATGTAAGAAGCCAATTTAGGAAGAAACCAACATAAACAATAGTAACTTGTGTGATCAAGTGAAGCATCTTTTTAATTTTGAATAATGAAGATGTCAAGCCAAATGCTAGAGTAGTTTAACTTAATTAGGTGGCCAATTTTTCCAGGCATCCTTTCATTTCCCATTGAAAACTCAGCTCGTATGCAAGGGAACAAGCGCAATTTTGTCTGTAATGAATACCTCCGGGACTGCACAGAGTCATCGCTTGGATTTTACACTGCGGACTGGTTTGAGTAACTAGTTTGGGCTTGTTAAGATGCCAGACTTTGTTGGACTAACTAGATTAATCAAAGCAGGACAGCTTTATTACTTGACTGGGTCAGTGGTCAAAAAGTTAAGTTGATTTTACTCCTGACATTTCTGCCAAGAGGAATCAATCTAAAGGTAATTGGTCTAATTTCTAGTTCAAATTTATCACAATCATAGAAATTTTACAAACACTAATAAAGAGATATTCCCCCACCCCAAAAAATGCTCTTAAAATATTTTCTTTTATACTGTTTTCGCTTGCCCCTTTCTCTTGCTTCATTTATACCCTGATCTGGAAATTTTTCATATTAGGAAAATATAATTGAACGATATGCAGCTACTGATATGTATGCAAATCTGAAGGTATTCTAATTCTAGCAGTAGATTTCAGAGAAAATTATGCAACAAGGAACTTGCAGCACCCTATTGGTTCACTGTTACTGCACTGCTGCTGACAGACAGCAGTAGGACACTACTGTAAGAATGCCTATTTTTATCAAGTTTATTATCACATTAATTCTTTGAGCTTCGTGCTTGCAAGATTCTCCAAGGAGGAGGACATTCTGTAAATGTCTCATGGAGGAAAAACCCAGAAGAGAACCTACTGGAACCGAATTGACAGGGCTGAGTTTGCTATACGTCCTGCTGTGCAGGGCCTAGAACCATGACACTCCAAAGACTAAAATAAGTAGTGTGATTAAAAAATGCCCACGGAGGATTTTCATCAATGCACTTATTTTTCAACAATGCCGCATACCTCTAATATTTTCGATATTATTCTGAGTTCAGGAAATACAGAGAAAAACAAGACCTAGATCCCATTCTTAATGTCTCACAGTCTAATGCAAAAAACAGAAAAACCAGTCAGTGAAGATGGCCACAGAGGGACAAAGAGCTCAGTAACTTCGACGTGTAGGCGATGGGTCCAAAGGCATTGCGTTCTTCTCGTGGTTCCTTTAATGACCATTCAGGCAACAGTGAGGAGAAATGGAAAGGCCCCAATAAGGGTAAAATAATGAGAGTAGGGTAAGATGAGTTAAAGTGAAACTGTGAGGCCCACTGAAAGGGCAGTAATTATGCAGATGGAAAAGATGGTACAGCTTTATAAGTTATGCAGAAAACAAAAAAAGTAGAATCTACACTATCTGGTGATTAGCCAAGCTGGGTGCAAAGGAAGGTTCTTGTCAGGGGAGAACTGATTTATTGGAAATGTGGTTCAGGCAAGTAACATAAGCTTCTCCAAAATCTAACTGACACTGACAAACCAGATTGCCCAATCAAGTGATTATTATTATTTTTTATCTAGAAACATCAGTCCTCCTTAACCTTTTCCATATGGTACCCAGACAGAGGCACGGATGGGAAGAAAAGCACTCCTACCAAGGGAGCTGGTAGAAAATGCCACTGGCACGGGCACACAGTTCAATACGGGGGGGGGGGGGGGGAAGGACAGCAGAGCCAGGAAGCATCTAAGAAGATATTCTTGTACCAGCTATAACAACAACGGACACACAAAACTGAAAAACAAAATATAATAACTCTGATGATGTCGGAAGTTCTTATTGAGAGAACCAAGCTCTCCTTGCCTAATTTGAAGTTTCTCTCAAGATTTTCCTTGCATTTGACTCAAGCAAACATTCAGATCTTGATTACCAGAGCATATTAAGAACTACACAGAGTACTATAATTCTAGAGGTTGGAGAAAGGATCTCAAGTTGTGGAGAAAAGTACAAGCCCCAAAGAATGTGTACTTGCATGGCTGAATGTGTATGGAGGAGAGTCTGCGCTCAGGTGAGAAGCCCCATCCATGGCCACCATGTGGTCCTGTGCTCTGAGACATAGTCACTGAAAACACAGGTGGCAAGTTATGAAGGAGAATGGGGGGAATGTGTGATGCTCTGCTGCCAGTCCTCCTTTCTTCTCTCCCGTTCGTTGGCCCACTCACAGAAGGCAGACATTTTGTAGTGATGTGATTCAAATTCTAATCGCAATAGAAAAACAGCTGAATGTTTTTAAATTAAAGTACTACATGTCTAGTACACTTACAGCTACTATAGGAAAAAGCGACTCCATAGCCCATGAAGAGCAGCAGAGTACAGAAGCTATGCACACTTATTGCATACTAGAGCAGTTTATGATGGGGTGGTATATTTAATTCAGGAGTTGCTGATCAATTATAAAATCAAATGCAAAAATTGTTTGAAGGGCTTTTTATACACTAGCTTAAGAGGTATAACATGCACATGGTAGCTAGTGCCAAAGAACCTTTTGGGACTGTCTAAAAGAATATCATTAATTTCTACAGTGTGCTTCTGTTTCTGGAGCAATTCCAGCATTGGCTTTCTATAAAAAATGATTTCAAGTATAGAATGATACGATTTGCTCGCAGCAACATCACAGGAGCAGGAGTGCACCATATGTTGCTACTTAGCAACTTCATCTCTAAGTCCCAAAGCATGTACTGATTTGAAAATTGAACAGGAATTATCATTGTGGTTCTGTGAGGCAAATTGTCTTGGATTGCTAAACTATGCAGATGTTTGATGTTCTGTAGGAAAAAGAACAAAACTATTTTTCCCCATGGCAGGATGACTAAAGTCTTATTTATGATCACCTAAAGAGGTATTATGATTAAAATTTCCCAAAAGATTATCAGGTAATGAATTCTTGAACACACTACCTTCCAGTAAACAAAAAGAATGTCAACTGTAAAGCTCAGCTCAAACCAAACAATGTTTACAATTTGTGAAATTTAATTCCCTCTTGGTATATATATTACCTTACTTGAGTCTACCTTTTTAAAATAGTAATTTCTACAAACACTTTTATATATGTAAAGTTATTGTAAAAAAGAGTCTGCTTCAGGAACATAAACCTACCATATTTTTCAAAAACACAAATGTATCTGGTGCTCTCTACTCCTCCATAAGTTATCACTGATATTTAAGCCTTTTTTTTTACTAAACTCAAAAAGAAGAAAAAAAGGTTTGCTGTCTGATTTAGTCAGGCTGAATATTATGTAAGATACAGTAAAAAAAATCTAAGGAGGTCAGCTGTTATGATAAATATGCTCTGCCTTTTTAATCCTTTACCTAAAACTCTTTAAGACAGTCATAATCATTACCTGAAAGGGAGCAGCTGCTTTATAACAGCAATCACTTATTGAGTTTGTGTTTCTGCTGTTTCAAACAAATTCAATTAGCCCGTACACTTCAAAACCCTAAAGGCACATAAGAGATGATGCCGGGCTGCTTTAATCCAATAGTAATTCTAAACTTGTCAGTACAGTTTGGGGATTGATGGTTAGAAGAAACTTAATAACAATATTTTTCATTTTTTAATCAAACAATGCTATTTAGAACTACATATGGATTTGGGAGAGTACTTAGCTGAACAGATTCGGTTAAGTAATTGTATACACACCGCTTGACTTGCAAAGGCATTCTTAAGAGTAACCCGCTGACCTGGGTGGCAGGAGCCTAGGAAGGACCACTGAGTGCTGCAGTGCCTGTCCGGCCCAAAGACAGCATGGATCACTGTGGACTGGAAAGGCAAATGAAGCTCTTGGGACTTTAGGGCCTGCCTCAGCTTGGGTTACACATGCGACATTTAGAGAAAGTTCAAAATCTCACAGAGTATCGCCCTAACATATACATTCGATTTAATACACTGACAACCACCAGGAAGAAGAAGAGGTGTGTATCTGTCTCCAAGCCCCATTTCCCTCTCAGGTATCAGAACTATTTGGGTAGATGTGTAAACATTGAAAACTACCATCTTGGTGATTATGCTTCGGCTGACGGTATAGGAAAGACCAGGATGCCACGGCTTTTTCTGTCCCAGAAGAAAAATGTTCAAGTCTATAAAGTGCTCCTGTGAACTTGCCTCACTGCACATTCATTTATTTACGTTTGCTTATAATATTCTTATTTTTAAGTAACACAGATTCTGTCGGGCAGTTCTAAGTTTACTTTAAATGCACTCTCTAGACGAAAGGTCCTGTTCTTAAGTCTCCAAAAAGAAAACAACCAACCACTTACTTTTGTAAAGGCAGCCATTTATATCTTCAGTGCACCCGTGTTGTCACTGTTATGATCAAATACCTTGTCAACGAGCTCCAGTGAAGAGGACATAAATATGTCCTTGAAGGGTTGCAATCATATGCATTTTGACCTAAAAACTATCCTCCTCCCCCATGGGCTGGTAAGCAGTATTAGCATCCACTGGGCCACTGTGGTACTAGCACAGCTCACTGACCACGTGATTCTGGTAATGAACAGAGCATGTGGTTGAAAACAGCCCCAACAGTTGATAATTACAGCTATTTGTGACATGTATAGCTTCTAATGATTAACTCATCTACAAGCAGAAGCAGAAATAACCTGCACCTGTAAAGACTTTATTTCCTAAAGGTAAAACAACTGTTTAGGAGAGAGCATGCTGGCAAAACAGCTGCTTGGCATTCTGGAGAGGAAACAAGGTAGTAGCTTTCAACAAACGCTAACTCTGATGTTTTATCAGTGCTATCTCATTAACTGGAAACAAGGCTTAAATGCTTTGTTTATAAATTATGATTATTCCTGATTGAGGCAGTTACTGATAGTGCTACTCATTTGCAATGCAACTCTTTGAATTTGTTTAATTACAATTTGAAACAAGGCAGAGAAGATTAATTAACCCACCTGGCTGGCTGGCACATAGTCCTGGCTCGGCTCGGTCATGTTCATGTACATGTTCGCACCGTCAAACTGTGAATGAAATAATAAACATTCAGCAATCTGGACTGTGTCTATTATTTTGTTGCTGTTATTCAGCAATGAACTGAAAAACAATAAGCAAAAAAAAAAATACTGTGTTTGGGAATATGAAAAATCTATCACAGCAAGAAAGCCACCTCTTTTCTTCGATGTTTCTGTTGTCATCCTTACTGACAGTGGATGTCTGTGATTGGAAGCAATTAGTGATCTAGTAATTACAGCAAGCAAGCAAGAAATAAATGGTTTCCTTTCATCTACAATCTGTTTTAAAACAAAATGGCACATATATACATATATATAGATAGACAGAGCAGCTCGCCTGTAATGAAGTATTAAATGAATGGTGTGGTGTGTGAAGGAAAAGATAATGGAAAAGACTCTGAGGCACAGCTCCGTGCCTTCTGAATTTAGCTCTCAAAAATAGAAAAGTGCAGTTTTCACAATAGATAAAAACCAGCTTCATCATTGCAACTGTATGATTAAAAAATTAATTTTGTGATATTCAAAAAGAGCATGTAGCCCATAGCCATGGTTAAGAATGGCAATAAGAGTAAATAACAATAAAATCACACAAGCTGAGGATTACATTTTCATCTTTGAAATTTTCTAAAGATGAGTTAATACAAGTCTTACAAATGTATAGCAACATGCACACGGTGAAGCCAATGAGTGTAAGAACAAGACTGAAGGAATAAATTCACAGGGACCGGCAAATTGCAAGTGCCTCGGGTAGTTTAAACAACAGCAAAGTACTTTTATTAGTCGTGTGTTTTGTGTCTCTTTTGTACTTTTATGCAGTAGATACCCCCTTCCACTAGTACGCCTCGCTCCTCAGCTATCTTCCACCCCGATAAATGGATAAATATCCCTTTTTAGTAAGATAAATGTTTTCACAAAGAAACAATCCAACATACTAAATCATTTAAAGAGCTTGGTAAAAATATACATTTACAGAGAGACTAATTTCAGGTATGTAAGCCCAACCTACTATTATTAAGTCAATTCTAAGTCACAGCAACCCTATGTAGGGTTTTCCAGGTAGTAAATCTGTATGGAAGCAGCCTCCACTGTCTCCTGTAAAGTAGGTGGTCAGTTTGAACTGCCCACCTTGCAATTAGTAGTCTACCCAACAGAACCACCTAGAGTCCTTAAGTTTAGACAGAGTAATGTGAAAAGTTGAAAAATTACTCCTTAAAACGAAGCCATGTTATTGATAATGATGCAAGCATTCTTCATTTTCATACTTTATCTACTGTCAAAAAGTGTATTAAGTACATAGTTTTCTGCCAGCTATGATGTGGGAAGTACAGAGAGTTACACCAACACGAGGTACATGCCAAGAGAGCCACACTGTATTCAGCATGGCAGGGGCCCTCAAGAGTCACATAGCACCAGCTGTCGAAGCAGAGCTATCCCCAAACACCCTGAGCCACTCACTAGCATTAGGTTCGAAGAATCAAAGATTTCTGCACACATCGCCCTCTAAAAACACTTCAGGTCAGGTGAACAACTTATCTAAATAGCCATGAAGGCACATCCTCATCGCTAGCACACGTTACAATAAGCACCCCTAGAAAGGAAGGGTTAGAGGTCTGCATTGCTTTGTCAACTCGCAATCAGTTGCCGGGATTCAAGTGACTTACCAGAGTTTGCTTCTCCGTCTGGTTCAGTTGACTCTTTTTTCTACCCAAATCCTTGAGTCAATCTGCCTGGGGCTCCTAGCAATCCCCAGACCTGACAAAGAGCCTCTTCCTTCAGCAGTTCTGTGCCCTAGGTGAGCGCACTGGGTTGTTTGCAAAGGTTTTTATATTTAAGATTCCAAGAAACCATTTAAAGTTTGGTCTGTTTCTCTTGACTGTTCACAAACTAAACTGAAGTAACACCGTTAATCAAATACTTAATTGCAGATGCATATTTTATAAATGTGTTACTTTCTATTTCATGTTGTCTCATTTTCTAAATCTGGTGTCATTTTTGTGCCAATGAAGTCTTCGGAGTTTTGGTTTTAGGCTATCCAAAGTGCATACTAATTCCGAATAGTCAGCGTTTTTGTCTTTGGTAAAGACACTGCCATCAAAAGGTATCATGGCAGCAGATAATTAATAACGAGCCAAGGCTGAAATATCACTGTTACAATAAAACTATTGTAAGTATTATAATCATAATAGTTTCATAAAAGGTAGTACATTTTATGGCCTAGCCACCTGAACTTTTGCAGGTATTAACTGGTATGCATTAACCTATTTAATCTTCATAACCACCAAGAATTAAGTGCTGTTATTTAAAAGTTACAAAGGAAGAAATGGATTTAAAGAGAAGTTAAGTTATACAAGGGTAGTAAGTCTAAAAGTACTAAGGTGAGCACCAGACTTCCAGTACATACAATTCTGGGTTTCCTCCAAAGAAAACACGTTGAAGTGTGTTCTGTGATCGGTAGATGGCTGTAGTTAAGTTCCATCAGTAATGCACTTGTTTGGGCTTCATTAGGGTGCCTTCCAAAAAAAAAAATCCAACCCTTATATAGGCCTGTGCTATGGGGGTGATGGCCAGATGTGATGTCTGATGCTCAGGGCTCAGCAAAATGGGCTAGGCTTCCAGAACCCTGAAAACAAGGGGCACACCCCTAAATACACTTGTTTTCTACTTCACTTTCATTGGCCAACAAGCTGCCAAGAACAAAAACACCTGGTTTATAGAGACGGCTATGGATGACAGTGAAAGTCCCAATTCTCTTTTCAGGGTCCCTACATGGATTAAGCTTCTGGTGAGTCCCCTCTGACCACGGACCACAGATGGGAATAGCCTCACTATCAGACAGAGTGCACTGGAAAGTGGATTCATGCAGATGCTGTTAGGATAACATGTAATACCTTATCATTTGATCTCCCTTTTGACTCATTTTAAAACTGTTTCCGATTTTGTTTGTTTTTATTTGTTTCAATTTTTAATATTTTCTACTTTTTTTGGATTGAGGTCTTTCTCTGTTACTGTTGTGTATGTGTTTCTGTCATGAAATCAAGGTCAGGTAAATCTCCAGGGACAGCAAGTGGATTAATTACTTCACAGGAGTATGGCAAGGAGGTTGGGAGGAAATGGGAGCTAATAACAATGATTATAAGAAAAAGACAATGTTACAAATTGAGGTGGATGGTGGCACTACTCTTTAAAATGTGACAGAATTATTGAATTGCATAATATATTAATTATATGTCAAAACTGTTTTTAAAAGTTTTCTAGGAAAAGAACATTCTATTCAAAAATTCAGTCAAAGCAATGGCTTCTACGGAGATCTGTTGGGCTTGTTAAATTCACTGAGCAGAAGGGTATGGAGACAGTTCTTATGACTCTTTGGAAGGCTGATTTTCTTAAAGGACACAGGCCAATTATAGGGGCTTATTAGGAGGAAGTTTTTTTGTTTTTGTTTTTTATGACAACGGTGTTCATGAGAAAAAAAGACCAGGGAAGTTGCACAGAGGAATCCCACCCCCAACCCACCCCCATCACAACAATGGACCTGCACATTCTTCAATAGTAGCAAAGATTTTCCTTTGAGAAAACTTTAACCCATCAACCCTACATCCTTGATCTTGCAGTCTTCAGATTTCTTTTTATCTTTTTTGTTCCCCAAAAGTATTCACAATGAACATTTAAAAGAAATAAACTCAAGTCCTTAAGAATGTCAAAACTGCAGTTTTGATGTGGTCTGAATTACAGAGTGTGAAATTCTTCAGGAAAGTGTTGGAGAGGTAGAAATCTCACCTTCAGAAATGTATCAATTTAGATGAAAGATATATTGAGAAATAATAGCTTCACATTTTGATATTTTTGTTTAATTAAACTTTCTATGATTTTGTAGCATTTTAAAAAAACTTTCATATAATCAAAGACATACAGCTCATAATAGGCAGATCTGGGATTCAAATCCAGGCAACTTCACTTCCTAGCCCACGGATTGAATCTCAATGCATTCTATTCCCGATTGAATCTCAATGCATTCTATTCCCGATTAAATCTCAATGCATTCTATTCTGAAGCAAACTGATGACCCAGCTATCAATTCTGAAAACGATTTCACTAAGTTATCCAGGCATAGTTTTGCCAGTACCTCAGTGATGTGTTACAGTATTGCCTACTGTGAAATTCCAAAAACAAGTATCCTAGGGAGCTGTCAATGGAGTCATCAGTCTGGCAGAATATCCCTTCATGATGGACAACTGAGTTACAAGACTCAGAGGGGTCTTCTGTTGGCACAATGATATATAAACTCCTCCAAAATCTTATTTCTGGAGGGTCTACAGTGTCAAAATGCCTGAAAAGATGTTCATCTCATGCTATTGCTTGCTCAGAGAGTCTCTGCCCATCTCTACCACTCTAGTCCCCTCCTTATGCCCCAGTCACAGCCCTTTGTCCAGGATGCCTTCCTGCTGCTTTCCTGACACTCCTCAGTTCCCCAGAGTAAGGTCTCAGAGCTCCAGCTGAGTGTGTATCAACCCTCTGTTTCTGGTAGTGTTGGATTAATCAATAAGCGAAGTCAGCACAGGATTACTTATATTAATTTACTAATCTGTAGTGAACAATTCTGCCACATCACAGATTCCACTTCAAGCTATGGCTGGCATCTGCCCATTTCTCAACCCCAGAGCACTTTCCTATGGAACCAAAGCCTCATCAATTTTACAATTCCTGTGCCCTCTCGTAATTCATAGTATAGTAGAGTTCGACACTTCACCACTGTGGTAGTTGATTTGATGTCAATTTGCAGATGTATGAAAGTATAGGCGTGGAATCCAATCTGTCAATCAGGTCACAGCCAGATGATGCCTACCAATGGGGTGTGGCCTTCTTAGAATTGGGGGGGGGGAGGGAGGGAGGGTGAGGAGGAATGGGCACCTCCCTCTCTGCCCCTTTCTCGGGCTCTTGCCACTCACCCCAAGGGCTGCCTCTGTCCTGCCATGTTTCTACCAACCTGGGGTCCACACAACTATAG